ACGAATCAAATTCCCTTTTCTGGTAGGAGGAACCCATCTACGGAAACTCATGTATTGTCTATTCCACGCAGACCTCCTTTAAATCGATCTCTAAAGACAAGCCATTCGATCTTCGTTTCAACAAGACATCGAGAAAATAGAATTTTGAGCCCTCTTCAAATTTTGATGCGAAGTTGATCGATGAATGACAACAATTCAACGTTTAACCATAATCCCATTCTCTGTGTTTTGATCACACATGATGAATGTATCACCTATATATCTTTTATTTACTTAGAAACCATCAATTGTTGAGTGCAACACACTATTCTCTAGGTTTGCCATGAAGCAATCAGCCAACACCGGTCCACATGGTGACTCCTTTTATCTGTATACCTCACTGTTGAATTTGAACTACACGCTGAAAGTACATCTTAGAAGTAATTCCTCTAAATAGTGTTTTGGTATCCCGCGTTAAAAGTATTATATTCGATAAAATCACACAGATAGTTCCCTTGAGAACATTGAACAGAGAAACTGCATCCAGAGAAATCATTTGCTTACCGGATACATTGACATTATTACTTGAGTCGAGAAAGTCGAAAACATCAAGTAGACCGTGCGTATTTAGCTGTTTTCTGACTGGTTGAAGGAGGTCCAACAATGACTTGGCGTCACTCTGTAGTTGAGGTGACTGAAGAAACTTTTAGACTTGAAGTGAACGTGTTGACTGTTGTACAAAGATAAGGTCACATGATTTAAGTTGTTGTTACGCCTTCCGACTCTTTTCTAACAACTGTAGATTCGGCAAGTGTAATAACACTACATAATGCAGTTTAATATCCAGAAAATCCTTTGTCTAACGTCAAAGGAAATACTTTAGGCGGTATAACTAAAACACTTTGGTTTGGATAAATCCAGCATCATCAACCTTTAGACTGGAAACATAGTTACCTAGATAGTGAGAAAAACACCAAGAAACGTAGGTTTGAGACTTCTAGCCGACTACAATTCTAGATATTCTGAATATTTACTGACTTTCTGGTGTTATCCAGTATCAGTTAACTGACTCATCGATGATTTGTATTCACATTAATTTTGTTTTGTAACTCGGTAAACGTGGATGTTTGATGGTGAAGTTCTTCACTATTCTTGGCAACCATTTAGTTTGGAATGCATAAAATAATCATATCAGACCAAAACAAATCAATAATTTTGGCTTGATAAAAGATTATCACTGTTACAACCAAGCGTCCATCAATTTAGTTTCGACAACCTACATATAGTCAGAATATCTTACTTTTATAACAATAGGATATTTAGATGGACGAAAGTTTATTGAGTATGACTCTTCACAATGATAGGCTTTATAATCTATTTCTTGGTAACTGTAGTCTCACAGATGATTGGTCAAATGTTTCCTTTTTACTAGTCAGTTTGATTTATATCGGAATTAGATCTCACCAGAACGCTATTTTAATGATTTACGCACAGTCACTGATCGCTCATACACATAGCATATAGGTAGAACTCTCAACCGTTAAGGTGAAATTAACACGTTGTCAGTAGCTGCAGTGGATAGTTGAGCTAGTGAAGCACCGGGGCAGAAACCCAAATGACTTTAGCTTATCCAAACTTTATATTAACGAACTCAGTCATCATAAGATCATAGTGTTGTATCTGTTGCGACGTGTATCACAGTTTCCTGGCTAGACCTTCCGTTTGCGTGTTTGCAAATACACAGTCCATGGTCAGAAATCTCCTCAGTTTCGTATGAGAAGCAAAATATTCAGATCACATAATGTGATCTGCTAGACATCACAGCTGATGTCAAGATTCCTAGCACGAAAGCTGTACTAAATATGCTATTGAACTCATTACTGATCAGTGCATGTAGTCTATAACTACTCATGGAAGTAATATATTTTGTACAAACTATCCCTTCATCCCTACAAAATAGAAAGTCACTGTTCCAGCTACCTTGTTACTGACATTATCTACTCGACCTATTAAAGAACTGATTGTTTCCCAGTGTTGCTTCATATACACTTACATTTTATGAAACTGATAATGTATAAATTCACACTCAAATATTCATTATTGTAAATAAACAGAGGATTCAGCCGAAACACTTATACATGCAAATACAGTTAGCCATAACTGTGGAGCAAGTTATATAGGCTGCACGAAGCGAGCACTTTTCAAACGTACCTCTGAGAACTATTCTGAGTGACTGTCAACAGGAGAATGCAAATCAGTTAAAAGTTCAGCTCTCGAACATTTGGTCTACTCTGGACATATAGCTACACCAGTCCTCCTTCAGTGTCATTTACGCAGTCAAAGGGAATAGTTCATAAGGCGTACGCTTTCGATAGTTGTAAACAGCAGCAGCACTGGCAGTTCAAGCCTAATCTCTGAATGCAGAAGAAGTATGTTCAATCTCTTTTCTTACCATGGTCTTAACATTTCATATTTCTCGATTTCATTATTAGTTAATTATTATGGCCGTCATTATGACTCTTGTCATTCTCCACCTTCTTGATATCTATCAAGTGGATACTACATATTCACATTTTGCACCTACCAACAATTCTCACCTTGTCTTTTTCATTATTTCCCCTGTTTAGATTATTACGCAACTACTTCTCATCCTTGATTTCGGTTTTTTAGCACTAATGATGCAATTATACCCTATTGTTAATAGCAGACTGTTTGTGATATATATAAACACGATGGTACAGCTTTAGATGATATCGCTGAAAAACGAAATTATCTTCGCTAAATTATCCCTACTTTTCTTCATGACTCGATGGGTTTCTGAAATTTCCTATCAAGCTTGCTGTAGCGAATACATCAGTTTTCCCAAAAGCTGTATAGATAAACGCGAATATTCAAAGCCGTATTGGGAAAATTTGAGCTAAAATCACATTTTTCCGAATCATCGTTCTTTGGAGAGTCACACAGTGTATATTACCGATGAAATGTTGGATTTGAAGAATGACTGAGTAGGGTCATTTAATTGAACAAATGAACTAATATTATTAATTTAATCTGGGAGGATTTAGTGAACTTTTAAGTTGCTATTCATAATGGACTGACATCGGTTGGAGGAACATTAGGAACCTGGGAGCACTGGACAGATGTTTCAACCTAGTATGGGTCCCCTCAGCAGTGAGAAGACATTGGCCCCACTCTGCCAGGTACCGAACCTAGGACCATGGCCAGCACGTTACCATTGAGTCGGAATCCAATGGATCACATTTCCAACTTCTGTCAGTTTATGTTATAGCGCGACCATCACCCATTGTCACAGTTGAGCATTTGTCCTCATAACCAGCACGTTTGCCTCACCGGTCACGACTTTTCATCGGAGCTCCAGAAATCACCTCTCAAAGCTAGTCACCAATGAGTATTAGATAATGTTAATAAAGAAATAAACTGTATGAAGTATTGTAATTTGAGCTCGGTACGTCAAAAACCACATTTCATAAGAATCTGATAAAGTCACTAAGAATAATGGAACTAAGTTTCAAATGCATTACCATGTTAGTAAAAGGTTAACGACTGCTTCTTCAAGAAATCCGTCATCAACGGTTTAGTTGAGCTTCAGCAAACCGTAGAAGATAAGAGCTATCCAAATATTTGATCATCACATAAGATATCAAGGCACTTACTTGGTGTAGTAGTGACTGCGCTACTGAAATGTTTAATCGCTTTGGTCACTTGAAGTGGCCTTCTCAGTCAGCATCGCCTGTCCAATGCGATAACTGTTATCTACCAAGGACCCTATATTTTTCTTCTGTCCATCCTTGAATTAAAAAGAGGCTCTTACTTACTTCCAAAAGTGATAACCACCTAATAATTCACAAGACCCTTTATTGTCAAATCGATAGCACATTAGAGAATACACTCATGACGAACCCGGAACTGATCAAGGGGAAATATACGATCGGAAAAGTGAAAAACTACTCCACATGTCACCGTATTTATTCATTGAGAAAACTTACAACTGCAAATGTCTTTGGAACTTATTTAAAATTGTGCGTGGAGTAGGGTCTAGATGTTTTGTGAAATAAACTTAGTAAAAATCCTGGAATATTTTACGGAAATACCGGATATGCAACCAAGCTATGATAAAACCCACGAAAAATTGAATATGGACATTATAAATTACCAGGCTATCCGGTTATGGATTTAGCTGCATATAAAGCCAAGATGGCACGTTATTGACGAATCTAAAAGAACGACCATTGTGTTCTCCTGTTTTCATAGCCTCGTCGTTCACAATTTATCACTGGAACTATCATCAGTTTACTCAATTTCTTAAGAACCACTCAACTTAGTAACTATCTATTTCTCGTCAGTCATTTACCTGGAAACTAGCCGATATCTCACAGTCTAGCAAGCAGAAATGAACTCGTTTATTATTACGATTCGATCTAGAAGTTATTTTATTGAAACTGATAGCGAATGTTGATACGAGTAGTCTTATGCAAAACTAGCTGGGACAATAGACGCAACAATCCACTAACTCAAAAAAGTGATATCTGTAATTGGCTGACGTCGTAAGTAGCTATTTCACCACTTCACTGTCGAACCATTTAGTTAAAATATGCAAAACAGCTAACCAGCATCTTGTATATTGGCGTGAAATTTCCTAATGGCTCAGAAAGAAATCCAAGCATCATTGCAAAGATGAAGAAAAAGCATGACTAGAATACTAATTTTTACCGATTTAAATATATCCGCGCACAGAAGGCTGCAACATGCAGTCAGTTGCACAGTTTTATGAACCCAAAGAAGGATTTAAAGACGGCATTTCGGCGGTAAGCGGAAATGAAGAGATGGTCCGGACAGTTGATGACCAGTTACAGTATATACGTTGAGGTATGCGCGGAATACAAAACGCTAACCGCAAAATTAGAATACAAAGATGGACATACTTCGCAAAGTCTCTCGCTATTATTATACCTTACTTTAAAATACACTTCACAAAGAAAAGTAAAAACAAACCACAAATTAAGTACATAACCTATATTTGATCAAAACGGATCTTTGCACTCCACTGTTCACATACAAACTTCAAAATGAATCCAGCTGTAAAATTTAAGTTCATCGACAGAAACACGAATATCATCGATCTTTAGTATCATTTTGCAAAGTTGAACAGCTAACATAATTTGTGCACGTTTGGAGCTTAGTGTTTCCAGGACGTTTTGCTGATGCATATCACATGTACCAACATTTAAACAGTCTACACCAAGATGAGGATTATGTTCGGATAGTTGTCTTGCTTTCAATTCGGCAACTGTAACGATAGGTGGTAAACCTGAGTTTTCAGCCAATGCCATTGGGATCGCTTCTAAAGCATCAGCGAACGCCCTCATTGCGTACTGTTCGAGACCCTCAACTTTATCAGCTTCAGCTGAAACCGCCAAAGCACATGCGATTTCACAAGCGCCACCCCCAGCAATAACTCGAGAATCACGGACCTACGTAAAAAGTTTACGATTAGTTAGATAACTTAAAAGCAAAGTGCTAAGATAAATTGCAGTCTCAAAATCAAGAACAAAATAAAAAAATGTATTTGATTCAAGTTCCATGTTTCGTTGGTTGGTATAATGGCCACAGAAAACAACTGAGTGTGAAACCTAAGAGATTGATGAAATATACCGTCATATAGTATTTGTAGTTAGACAATACTTACATCCATGATTAAAAGCTCAACTACGGAATTTCTTACTTCGAACTGGGAAAGTTCGGACTCATCACTGAACTGCATGACCATTAAATGAGCGAAGCTGCTAGTCCTCCATTAAGATAAAGCTGGTTTGGCTGGTTAGGCCTACTTGTAAATATGAATAGTATTTAAATAAACTTACCATTCAATTGTGAATCTGGCTAATGTATGATACATTATTGATTAGATGACCTTTAAAAAGCCTCTCTAATGATATCTGGATGGTAGAAAACCTGCTAATCGAGAAAGATACCCATGCGGATTGTAGAAATCGTGAATAATTTGTGTATTGTCACACCAGCAGAAGAGGATTGCTATTAATCCTGTTCAGTCAAATAAAACCATAGGATAAATTTCCGTCATTTCGCGTGGGAATAGCTTTTACTACACATAACATTTCAAGACACTTAGTTCATCCACATGAAGGAAAATTTTCACCACGAAAAGGTATCAGACCATCATGAACACTGTGTGAGGTAGTTTTCTTGAATAAGAAGGTAAAGGAGTTTGACAATGGATATGTAGACAACCCTTATCTCCCAAACCCAGAATTACAGTAAACTTGATGCCCCCACTATTACTTTATTTTGCTGTAATCTGGCTCCTTACATCCCTAAATACTCGGATAAAAGATAAGTTTGTAAAACGGTATTTGAAAAAAAATCTCATTGGTTTATCAAAAACTGGGTGATTTAGAGAACAAATAAAACCTGACGGACAGCTTTTAATATGTTGGGATTACTTTTTCGTCCCAATTTCTGAAGTCGGTCGAACGAAGTACGGCAAAACTGTTACACATGTTTCACGAATTTCACTTTGAAACTTGTTTTAAACTGGGAAAACCAAATCATTGTCAACATATAATAGCTGCAAAACAAACTATGCAAAAAAAAACTATAGAACCCACTGAACGGATAATAAATATGCAGCAAATAATATAATAGAGAATACTCACCAAATTCCGGACAACACAGAGGGCATCGTGTAAAGAACGTTTCGATTCATCCACAATCATCTTTGAACTGCCACGCAAGAAGCAAGTTACTGCTTTTGAATTTTCGCATTGTTCAATCACGAGCATGCGCTCCTTTGTGGTGCCAAATGAAAGTTCACGCACTAAACCAGCTTTACCGAGTTTATCTTTAGTCAATTCTTCGAATCGAGGCACTATTCTTCCACCAGTAGCAATTGCTATTAACTCTATTTCAGGACCGCCAACCCATCGAACAGCGGGTAACTTTTCACGCAATAACAAATGGTTGGCTTCGTCGTCGAAACCCCATTGACAGATAACTAAATTAGCACCAGTGTCTTTTACCCTAATAAAACAAAAATGCATTTTCAAACTCAAATTTACAGTTTCAACAAAGGTATTAACCAAAAACAACTAGAAAATAACTAGTATAAACTCCAGTGTAGATAGGGACATCAATAACATTTTGCATTTAGGGGACGCAATCACATACCAAAGTTTATCTTCCCAGCTTAAGACTTCCTCCTCCATTTCCTGTTCAACAAAGTCATACTAATTGTACTATAACCGACAGGAAGACCTACATATGGACTAATTCAAATCATGTTGTTTTCACCCTCTATTACTCTCAAAAATTTTAATATTTGTGGTCTCCGATTAAATGTCCTTTAATTTACTTCAAAACCTTTGAATTCTGTTGATTTCCTTTATTTGTTATTAGAAAGTAGTAGAGATATGAACCAGCGAACCTCTTGCAAGCTTCTACGCCTTTTGCAGTTGTCACATGACTACGGAAACTCGGGTTAGTACTGTAACTACTAGGCCATTAAAATAAGCTTCGGAGGTAAGACACTATGATACTGAGAGATTAAAATCTCTTATCAGTAAAACATATCATGCAGCTGAGTTTATCATTGTTGCAACAGCAAAACACGTGCTTCACCATAAATTTTCAAACTCGCATAAATGATTGTCATATCCCAATCCAGATTAGGGTGGGTGAACATACACCTAAATGGCTTTGGAAATTTTCTTACACAAACTGATGAATGTAGGTGACAGACATCCATCTTTATCCATAACCAAGCATATCGAGATGAATCATAAAGTTAACGTTCAAACACCATTCAAGATGTTATATACGAACAGTCCGGGTGTATGCTGAAGTTTACTGAGGCGTTATTCTACTCGTAGACTTAAGACACCGTTGTGTACAAAAGCAATTAGTTGTTTAATTTGATTTACCTTGGTAATCCTTATCTGATAACGTTACCAAGACTAATTTCAAAACCTTTTTATATTCATCATATTTCACCTTTCTTTTTTTATTTTCATATACAGATTAGCTTGACAAGTTTGTATTGAGCAAATACATTATATTTCTTATACAATGTTCATCCATGCATAGTGTTTTCCAATTTATGAAAAGGCCTAGTTGTTTCTATTGTAATAGTGACAAGATTTAGTCGAGTGTGACTCAACAGAATTGATTCAACTTCCCATATGGAAAAAGTGAAAATCACACCAAACGAATTCATTCCTGCTTTTGTGATGTGTGAAAAGCAACCAATTCCCATACTGTCACTCATGCACAAGAAAATGCATACCGTTAGCACAACCTAACAAGAATGGTCGACATGGTCGACCATTGCACCTCTTAAGAGATTAGTTCGAGCTGTCACCAAAATTCCTCAACCACTGATTCTTATCGTCTGGGGAACCCCAGCCAAGTAGTTTACACATCCTCATACGACTCAGACCAATAGTCAGAGACTTCATGGATCGGTGCCAAGTCTTGTTCTGGCCACCCTGAACACTTACAACATAATCCAACTTCCTCAGCATAGCACGTCGAGGTAGCTGGTGGCTCGGCATGCGCAGTACATGTCTAAGTCATCAGTTGATGAAGTTCCACAACCTCATTAATGGACTTGCCTGTCTTGCCTAGTACCTTTGCCTGACCTCAACATTGTTCACATGGTGATCCACCAAATCCGAGCAATGCTACGAAGATACCTATGATCAAAACCATGTAATTACTTCATGTTTTCTACTCTTAGCGGTCGTCTCAGCCGTACAACAAGTCAACGAACTGAGACGCAGTGTTCTCGTCATCTAGTAGAAAGATATCTCACCGGCGTCACGAATGACGCAAGTTGACAACTAACAAGCAGGCATTCTGTGTCCAAGCTAAGAATTCGCCAGCAGCCAGTCAGCTTAGGCTGATGCGACTCCCGAACTTAGTGAAGGGATCGATATCACCACTTCATACCCCATCATAGAAATTAAGAGTGAATATTCCATACGGAAACCCCTCAACATATATAACTAACGTGTTGGTTCATCATAGACTGTCATGACCACGGGTGTTCAAACATAGAATATTCACTAAAAAGTATCGCTCGTCAGAATTCTAAAATCTCCATTCATTGATATATGTTGTGGTCCTGAGACATACAAGACCCAAGTAAGGTTAATAAATTCACTTGGTCTGGCCATAGTAGTGAATCTACAAAATTCACCTTAAGAGAATCTGAAAACCCAATGGCCAGCTCGTATAGTTGTAGCATTTTATTTCACTGTATGGTGTTGATGTATGTAACAACTCATTGAACACTTTTTGTTTAGTTGTACTGAAAAAGACTTTTTGCTCGCTCGTTGACTAATACAACATCCTGATATATACATCGCGTTAACTCCTGATATTTACGCTGTCTGACGCAGGTGGATCAGCAGTGTCGGGAATTATAAATAGGCGATAGTGTATCTGGACACGTATATAAAATTTGGAGTCAGATTTCAGAGCTCAACATACTCGCTGGTGTATGCACAGCATTGATTTATATAGCAGAAAGTGCGCCTCTCGACTAGATACCAGTAAACAACGTTAATGTGTTCGACTAAATGAATGTTTAAGATCTAGGAAGGATCATGAAACTAGGCGGAGTCGCAGTCCGTCTACGCACCAACCGACTGCAGTTGGGATAGTACAAAGGATGATGACTAAGAGAAGCTGTCAGTTTTGCTACAGAAAGCGAAACATTCATATATAGTCATGGTGGCAAGTGACTTTAGCACTGCAGTAGGGAAGCTGGGCCAATCGGAAAAGCATCCTAGGGGGTATTTATGGAATCGCTGTTCAACGAACCGACAACGGCGATCATCTGTTGCAATTTTGTTTCGACAATTACTTGTGTCTAGCCAGCACTGACTTTAAGCATAATGGAGAGACACTGTCTCATGTGGTGTCCGCCCACTTCAAGCCAACGATTGACTCAGATAGATTAGATTATTATGAACCATCGCTGGAGAGGATTGCTGCTCTTTCTGTAGTACCAGTTTGGGCTGCGATCATACGCTGGTACGGGCTTGTGTATGTCTACGCCTTACTAGCCGCAGGCGGCAGTGAAGCCTGTGCTCGATTGAAAGGATGCTAAGTACACATTTAGGGAGGAGTTAGCTAATCATCTATCCGAACGTGACAGCAATGTTCATCCTTTTGGAACCTGGTATAATATTAAGTCTGCTGTAGAGACAGCAGTAAAGACAATTGGTAGCCTACACGCGAAGGCTAGTAAACGCCATTGAATTTCCCCCAACCTCATCCAAACTGAGTGGTAGAAGACTGATTTCAGAGAAAGCAACTTAGACGTGAATTGAACAAGTCTCCGCAATGATGGGTGACGAGAGCGAGAGATGGAGAAGACATCAGCGTTAAATAACACTCAGCAATTATTTAGACTTGTTAAGGATACATGCATCAAGACGATGGTTAGTGAAATCATCACTGAAAAGGATGGGACTCTGGTAACCTCCCAGGACAGGCAGCTAGAACGTTGGGTGGAACACTTTGAAGTACAGTTCAACTGGCCCTCAGCAACGCTTGTTTCCCAACATTCAGTTTGGACCCGAATTGGACGTAGATGTTGGTCCTTCAACTTTCGTCAAAGTTAAGAAGGCTGTATGGAACCTGAAACGATTCAGAGGGGTGGGATCTGGCCATTGAAGGTAGAGGACATGAGAAGGCCTCAGGTGTTTGATTACCGTTGCCTTCGTAGTATAGGCCGTATTTCGTGGTTTTACCACGTAACACAGAAGTCAGGTGTAGAGTTTTAGGGAGAGGTAAATCAGTTGACACGGTTGTGAACCGTCATCGACCAAGATGGTTGGGACATGTGCCTGGTCGCCGTCTGCCTCGTCACACAATGTTGGCCGAAGTAGGTCCAGGCTGGAAAAAGGCCCGGGGCGGCCAGATTAAAACATGTCATCAATGTATGAAGTCTTTGACTGTTGATTTTAGCTATGTGGGGCGATGCAGACTAGCCACCTGGGGTCCGCGGGACAAAACGAAACAGTGGTTGCAGACTCTAGGTGACATGGCTCAGAATCGAAGCCAGTGGCGCAGATGTATACACACATTATCTTCATCTTAATGCTATACTGAATCTAATTATTTTCTCGTTCTTCCTTTCTCTCTTTTAGTACTTTGTATTTCTTTTGACTGAATTTTCTATTCTTCATCTTCCATTTCACTGCCTTTTCACTTGATGTACTGATATGAGGTGTGACAACTCGGACCGCTACTCAGTAACGCCTGGTCCTATGTTGATGACAATTTTACCCTCCGATAGGTTCTGGATCACAGATGTACCTTCCGGTGGCATTTGACTGTGGACCATGAGATATTGTCAGCTCGTGGGGAATACCGAGCAAGTATTAGGCGCCAATCAAAGCTCTACTTAAACCCAAGTAGCCGTGCAAGGGCTTGTGGAGAGAAGTCATGTGAATTGACGACATCCAGTGGTGTCCACCAGGAATGTTCACTGTCCCGTTCCTATTTAACTTATTTATAGGCGTACTAATCTGTATAAACTTAAATACGTCTGCGCATGCCGAGCCACCATCTACCTCGACGTGCTATGCTGAGGAAGTTGGATTATGTTGTAAGTGTTCAGGGTGGCCAGAACAAGACTTGGCACCGATCCATGAAGTCTCTGACTATTGGTCTGAGTCGTATGAGGATGTGTAAACTACTTGGCTGGGGTTCCCCAGACGATAAGAATCAGTGGTTGAGGAATGTTCGTGACATGGGTCAAAATCGATCGCAGTCTCGCAGATGCATTCACTCCTTGATACTATCGGAAACTCGAATATTTGGACTTTAGATTGTTTCCCTCACAACTTGACTTTGACATCACTTCTTCCATCCACTTTTGTATGCTTCTGTAAAAAGCTGTAACTTGGGCTGATGTACGAGGTTCTACATTGATTTTGTTTGTCAATGTCACTTATGGCACCACCGTGATATCTAATTGACAATGCAGGGCAGAAGATACTGCCGTGGATTTAACTCTCTATTGAAGTATGAGTGCAGTATGGCCATTCGATATAGACACGAAGCAGCTTTAGGGGTTTGATCAGTGTTTCTTTCGCAGCACAGACTGTTGTGGTGCCACCGACTAAGCTGTATAGAAGGCAGTAAGGTCGATGCTGCTGTGAAGTTTCATCGAGTCGGGTGGCTGGGACATCGATTACGCATACCTAGCCTCACAATGTTTTCTGAAATAGTTTTAGACAGGAAAAACGTTACAGGCAGCTAGACTCAAACGTGATATCAGTTGGTGAAATCTCTCATCGTTGGTTGTGGTTGTGTAAGGAAATGCAGACTTTCTAGATGAGGTTCATGTGATAATAAAAACCAGAGGATGAACACTCTACGTGACATGGCTCAGAATCGATCTTAGCGGGTCAGATCTAAACATTCAATTTTAATCATGCTGAATGCAAGATTTTCGCAATCCTCATCGTTGTCGTATTACGACTTTCTACCACTTCAACTGTTTTCTTTTTAACCTTTTATGTCAGTGCTTTCTTTTTTGATAAGCTGACATGAGATGTGGCAGCTTGGACTGTTGTACAGTAATGCCTAGTCACATATTGTTCTTGTTCGTCTAACTACTATTTTCGAAGTCACCAATAACACATTTGTGTGCTGAGCTACAAATCAATGAACAAAGGCTAATGACACCAGCTCAGTTTTATCAGGTGGAGTGTAGCCGGATTTTTTAACCCAATGGTTAGCAGTATGTTTATCAACCAGTCACAACTCTACATGAGTCGAAACGCCATACCAAAACTATACACTTAGTAATAGGTAGCCACAACAGAATGTGATAGCACAGGTTTTTTCTGGTACTTCATGTAACTACTTTGGTAAGATACACTATTAAAACATGTTTTAAACTGAATTAAAATAGAAGCATGCACAGGAGGAACTTTGGAGAAAAATTCGACGAAGATTAATCATCAAGTTTACTTAAAATGAGTACGAAGGACTACTAACCTTTTGACCATTTCCTCGAATTTCTTCTGTTCATAGTCTCTCAACTTGTTATAATCTTCAGTAGAGCTAACAAACAAGTTGTGCTTCGTTTTCGGCTTTGGAGGTTCAAAAGGACATGTTAGGATTGCCAGTCTGGCGTTTTCCACTGACCGCGGCATTTGAGGGTGAGAGAAGTCTTTGTCAATGATCACACCTTTGACCAACAACGAATCTTCAAGTCTACCACCAACCTTTCCCTCCACTTTAATGAGCTCAAAGTCTACATCCCGACGTTCCAAATCGGCAACAGAAAGGACAGCATCAACAGCCATTTGCGCAAACTGTCTCTGGCACCGATTTACACTAAGAACTTTATTATTTCTCAAAGGAATGACCTACATTTTTGATCCAAGAGTGGTCATTGCAGTTTTAATGAGGGGTTCTGTGTTCTCAATCGAAAACTCGAATTTAACACTTATCTTGTCCAAAACAGAAAGGCAGTGTTTCGCAGCAAGTTCGTAACCATCTGCTATTCGAATTGGGTGAAGACCCTTATCAAGAAGCTGCTCTGCTTGTTCAAGAAGTGCACCAGCTAAGACAACAACACCCGTGGTGCCATCGCCGATTTCATCATCTTGTGATCTGCTAAGTTGAACAAGCAATTTAGCAATTTCATGTTCTACATCCATTTTGTCAAGGATAGTCCGTCCATCATTAGTGACAGTAACATCCCCATCGGGACTAACGAGCAGTTTATCTAAGCCCTTAGGGCCTAATGAGGTCCTCAATGTCCCTGCAACCGTTTTTGCTGCCATTATGTGTGACTAGACTTTATAACACTAAGAAAGTATTGGCTTACTTTGTGTGCTTCTATACCGCACAGACGCTTCTTCTTTTCTTGGTCTTTTAAAATTATGAAAGGCCTTCCATACTCATCAAAAGCTAGCTGCCCTTGTGCTCTTCCGGGAAAAGTTGCCATGCCGCCAAGTTATCACCAATGTTTTGAACGGTGCTCCTCTAGTACTCTGAGTGTCCAATGGCTGGGAACGTGAAGTGACTCTTTTGTTGAGAAAACCTTCCGACCAGCTAGCTGCAACATCAGAAACAGCATTTCAAACGACAAAAACAAAAATCTAATAGAAACTTTGACTTATATGTGTTTTATAGTTATTAAAAGGGAGATGTTGCCATAAAATTGACCAATTATATTAAAGGTTAATATGGTATACTGGCAAATTTCGCTGCGGATTAAAAAGTGATATGTATAGGCCTCTTATTCTGGAGGCTCACCTGCACTGTTAATATCTATGTCATTACTACTGTTCTCACCTACTTTGCACCAACATGCTTTTCTTCTAACTAGCCTTTTCCCATTACGTTTTGGTTTCGTGAGGATTACTTTTTCATATCATCTGCATTCATAATTTTCAGAAAAACAGAGGATTTTCGCGAGAAGTTCTATGTTTAAGCGTTGCAATTGGGATGACTGTCTCGAAAGTGTCTCCAGACACCTTAGATCGAATGTGAATACCGATTCTACCATTTTTTTCTTCTTCGCCACTAAATTTACTGTGCGGCTTACGGCTGAGGAACACCTCTTAAATTACGCTTTTCCTTTACCAGGAGAACTATACAGTAGAATCGATGCAAAACTGGAAAACGAAATAGCAGTGTAAAAAGGAGGGCTTGAAATGCAAATAAAATCACCAAAGGATGAAATAGCTCAGCGATGTCTAACATTGATGCTGACCTTCTATTTTCCAACGGACCAGTTAAGCTCGTCGGGCACGACCAAACATCAGTGCTGTTTGCCGTATTGCGTCGCTTTGCGTTAGTTGTCCACGATCCATTGCCCACTTCAAGCTTGCTTTCTCCGCGGTCAAAAAGGCCACTACCAATGCCACCACGCTCGTACCTCAGGGTACCCAAGCATCTTTGAACAATGCCTTCAATGCATCTTTCTAGGCAGTTGGAATTGTGCCACAAAAACAAGTCGCAGCCAGCAGCAACTACCAGCCTTTTTCATGAAGAGGCTGTATGAGTGAAAAAGAAGTGCCGAGGACCCCGTATAAAACAACGGGTGATGTACTGTTTTGTACCCCATTTTTGACATTCCGTTGAATCTCATAGTGTCACTGGTTTCGCAGACCACAGACTACTAACGGTGAACTATTACTGGACATCCACGTGGAAATCTCAACGTCTGAGCCAACATTCAGCGCAAATCAACTGCCTGTCACATGTCTGAGGGGAGTTATTCAATAGCCAGCTTTAATACCGTTGCTAACTTTGTTAAAATTGATCTTCTTTAAGATTTTCTCAGGTGAACGACAGTTGTCGTCCACAGCCCTTAAACAACGGCTAAAGTTGTTGGGTTCCAGAAAAAATACCGTCTTTTAGAGGATCTGTAGGTGAACCAGATCCGATGGTGCCCAAAATATTTCGGCTGCGCCTTCAAGATGTTGCTCAAGACTTTTGATCGAGGTGTTCAACCCATCACTCAGCAGGTGTTTTGTTCTACTATGAATAACCTTGCTAAATAATGACTTGGTCAGGTGTCGCCCGTCAAAAGTACCAGATCATCCGGCACACAGAAAGGTTCTTTGGATAGTGCTGATCACAGACCATTATAATGATTACATATCTAGAATGATGAATTCTACGCACACGTGCCATTTTTGTAGGCAATACCTAAATATTGTTTCCTCACCTAAGCTTTAAAATTAAGAAACAAACATACCGTCGTGCCATACAAAGTCTTCCGGGGTAAACAGTTGTTTAGATATTGCTTGTTTCGACCATGCCCACGTTGTTACTATGGCAACCCCAGCAGAATGAAGCTTATACACCCATCTTCTCACCTGCCCAGATCGCCTCACGTGAAGAATAAGAGCAGTACCAAAGAGGGATATCGCTCTTGAGATTATCAGTTACGTTTTAACTGGAGGCTGGGTAGCAAACTTCCTATATCTATGTCCCACGGTAACCGATCTCAGATGGCTATTTTGGTTTGGGCACTTTCACATACGCAGTACACTCTTTGCGTTCGCATGATTTTGAACGTTAGCATTTCATCTGTGATGAAATGTCATCGTAGAAGGGCTCTATTGATAGCTGGCTAATTAACGTCTAGCCATGGGGCAGTTCGATCAAACCGAGGAACCACCACCAGCCTTGCCTGGTATGCAAACATGTTGACTTTCGAAGGTGGTCCCCATTAAGCTAAGTTTTTTGTAGAGCTACTTCCCGGACGTCAAGCGGAGCTATCTCACTGTCGAATTTCACTGCTGTTCTCAATAGGACTACTTGCAACGCAGGGCTCACAAGCCCAATGCAATCGAATAGACCTGGTCCCGTTCAATGTTTAGAACCGAAACTTAGTCTACACATGTTTCAGAGGCGCAATTCACCTCCCTTTGCTTTGTTGAGTTTCTTGGAAGCCAAAAGTTTTCTCCTACCCCCAAGCCTTGCCGAGCGGCGTATATATTTATCTCGCAGATTTAAAGGCATTTTCGGATGCCCTAGGTAACGAATGATCAGCCCTTAGAACACCCGAACGAATTCATGAATTGGTTTTGCGTCGAATACGCGCCAACCTCTTCCGTACCCGGAGAGAGCACGTCTATATCGAACCGAATGCTTGACAGCTGTGATGTATCTTGCTGACCGAAAAGTGACACAAGCCATACTGCGCCTTAAAACAAGTTCTAAGTCTGATATAAGCAATTATAGATCCACCAACGCGACCTCCGTTTTGTCCAGAATGCCTGAAGAGATAATAGGCAACAACACTGCTAGCTTTCTACCAAGTGATAACCTGGTGATACTACCGCAGCATGGCTTCATCGAGTCAACCTCACGTAGCAACGGCTAGCTCTCGACTGAACTCAGAGCATATAGCACTACAGAGGCATTGCTGAAGTGATCTAGTTATTTCCGAGACGGCCACTTTCGAAGAGCTAAGATTCGATGTTTCCTCATCACGAATTGGATCGATTACAAGTAGAGGCCAATCATCAATTGTTCGAGCCTGTTATACACCCACAAATACGAGACCAAAAAACAACACAACAGCGCAGTCGGATGGAATAGTGAATTTGCGAGGCCATGTCAATATACCGACGCGTTCCAACTAACTGACTAGAGGGTCGATCACAAGCGATGCAACGCAACTCGACAGCGTGCCAAATGGCAAGGATGCTTGGCCAGGTGCCCTCGGCTTAGTGAGTCCGATAAAACCATGAAAGCCAGCGTCAATGTTGAATCTCGTCGAACCCTAGGCTATTGATTCCGGAGAAGTCTATGACGCTACAGATCACTCCCCCCTAATGGGTTCCTGAGGACCCTAAGACGAAACAAGCTGGAAGTAAAAAACCAGTGGTTTCTCCACTGGTAAAACTCTTCCGAGGAGCTTAGTGCGAAAAGTGGCCCCTGATTGTCTGAACTTATTCTAGGGTATCACGGCAAATGAAAAATAAATCGAACTGTACGTCGATCGCGGTCCTCAGTGTCTTTCGACGTTCCGTCCAGCGTTCGTTGCACCTAAAATATAAATAAAAGTCCCCAGTACCACAAAAACGTTCCTCATAAGTCGGAAACATTTATATAAAAACATACCTAAAATAGATTATATGCTTATTTCTATTTAGTTTTTTGAAAAGGTATCATTACGCTGCAGTAAAAAGTTGACACAAAGGGCAAAGTGTAGGTGAATTTTCGCATTCCCAGTGAGTAAAGAGTGGTGCTTCGAGAAATGAATTTAGAATTAAAAACAGTTGGCACATTTTAACTGATATTACTTGGTAGATTATATCTTTATATACTCCGGGAACCTGTTGGTTCTACCTGATCGTGCTTTTTGTTGTGTTTGTGGTTGCTGCTTCCGTGCATCACCGGGTACACCGTCAAGAATTTCGATAACTGGGCTATCCGCCGATCAGCTGTGGTGAGTTGAAATGTCACTTATGACGCGGCTGCATTCGGAGTAAGCCAATCTCAAACAATTGATACCAACAGTATCTTTATGTCTATTTCCCTCGGTTATTTAGAACTTCTGATACCACTTGATCACCTTGAATGATCTATTGTACGATGGTCCAAGTGGTCGACGAGCAGCATCGTGGCGAATGAACACGTGCGATGTCTTTTGTAAAACGGGGTGAACGAAGACAATGGTTGTTTGCGGTCTAACGGGAGCCGGCCTGACTGGGCGCATTGCGTTTGTAAGCCTAGTAGTGTAAGATGTCCTGTCCAGTCGTCTATTCATATGGGCTCCCCCGAAACAGAAGCCAGATCTGCCTGAATATGCCCAGGCCAATTATTGACCCCACAAGCACTGATGTTTTGGGTTTAAAAAGTACCCCCAAGCCGAATGGTTCACCCGGTCTCCTACACACAGTATCGACTAGGCTGCTCGCCTGATCTCTTGGGGACTTACCGATTCCTTTGAGCACATGTTACTTCTGTGTCCCACCCTCACTGGATTTCACCGAAAATCCTCTAAAACGCTTGTGAAAGCGATGCTCCGTGCTGTACTTACAAAGAAACATGGCTTTATTTCGGAAGAAAATATGCTTAAATGATGTGGTCAAAGGCACAAGCTAGTATTTTTGGATCTGAACCCCAGGAACTTCCGCCCTTCCTGGTTACAAAAGGATGTGAAGCATTCACCCCTAAGAATACCGAGACAGACACTAAATGCGATTCAGAAGTATTCTAGCAGGTAGATGTCAACCCTGATTTTTCATTCGTTTCGCGACAATTCGGTCCTTATTTTGCGATGACGGTTTTATAATGCCCACTTCCCTTTTTCACTTTGTACTCCACAGATATTTTACTTGAGGAATCCTCACCCCACGTGTCATTCAGTTCACTTTTTCTCAATGTTTTACGCAATAATATACTGTAGTTTTTGAAAATATTTGCTCCAACAATCCATGTCATAACTATATTGCTGCAGGGTCATCAGCAGCTCCAAATGCGCTGCTACTAAATGTGATGCACATATAGTAGA